TACGCGGGAAAAATTCTGCCATCAAGGTGATGGTACACGTATGTATACGATTAAATGTTCGTATTTCGAGGATCGAGGAGACGAGACGAAAGGAATTTTGCGGTTCGGCAAACTAAACGCCAACGAGATTACGTGCACGAGAGGGAAGCGATAAACGACAACTTGACAAATTAACTATTACGACGCGGGACGCGCAGATGCGGCTAACGACGCCAGCAATGGAGAAACTTGATTGTTTACGTATCTTGTTTTCCACATTAGCTTTGTTAGCGGATAGGATACGATACGATACGATACGAAATCGATCGGTTTTAGAATATATCTCGGGCGTCTTAGAAACGTGTATACACGCCTCCTGGCCAAGGTTTATTCTGCCAACATAGTGGTTGTCTAATCGCATTATCGTATTTTCCCCTGTATCGTTTCCTGGATATCTCTCTACCACGCAATCCGTATTTCCCCGCCGACGATGGGATTAAGATATTAATACATTTCGTCCAAATTGATCGGTAATCGATACGAGAAGTGGCTCTTTCGTCTCGTCTGAAATTACGAAAGAATTTCAATATCGAGCGAATAATTGGCTGACATTTCTCTTACGTTTATCAAGGGCAGTCACAACTGTCGAACTAGTGCATAAACGATCTCCCATTGACTTGGGAAGAATTATGTAAACTATTCTTATCGATGCTTTCCACTATATTCTTGCTTGAATCGAAATGAAAAAAATTGTTACCTTGTTACTCTCGGTACTTTGCTTAAAATGTTTTGAAACATTGCCTTTGTAACAAGCCTTGAATTGTAACAAGCTCTTTCCAATCAGAAAGTAAAGGGGGAAGGTTTCCAAAATGTCCCATTGCCGCCCGTGAGAGTGACCCCATAAGAGTCCGGTGACATTTCTGGGAACGGTCTTGTCTTCTGAAATCTTCTGAAAACGCACATGTTTGCAAAAATGGCGCACAGTCGAGATTGAACAAATTTGGCGCCTAGTTTGCAGTTTTCCAAGCGATCCGAAAAAATAGTTTAGAGATTGCTGATTTGCCACGCTGGGTCGGAGCGTATCCTTGGCCTTAACAACATTACAGTTGCACGAACATGATTCGTTCAAAGACACCATTCGTTCGCTATCCGAATTGCGCGTTAACCGATCACCGCCTGTATCTGTCGTTATTATTTAATATTGAAACATTGGATTCTGGAGCGTGGATTGATTATAGATACAAGTTCTGATGTGTCCGTCGTCTGAACGTAAAAATCTTTCGTTAAAAACTGTTGCAAACTGTACAAGTGTAATTTGTCTCTGTTTCAGGTGCAAAGAGCCTGGACGGTATTTGAAGGAACTACCTCCCACAGCGGTGATTATCTGCTTCCACAACGAAGCCTGGTCGGTACTGCTGCGGACGGTTCACTCCGTGTTGGACAGATCGCCGGAGCATCTTATACAAGAGATCATTTTAGTCGACGATTTCTCCGACATGCGTAAGTGAATTGGAGAAACAGCGTGTTCTGGTGAGAATACGATGGAAATTCTCTGTGGAAACGAGTGGAGATCTCACAATGGCGAAAAAAAAAAAAA